CAACAATTGTCTTCTTATTGATGTGGACGGGGGGGGGGGAGTAAACCAGAGGTTGGGGGGGGACCGGGAGGGGAGCTATGGGGGGAAAAAGAGGAACAACTGTAATAATCTGAACAATAAAAATTTAATTTTAAATAAATAAATAAATTAATTAAATTAAAAAAAAGAATCAACCAAAAAAAAAAGTGTGGTTTCTCGGGGGATTCTAATATCCAGCTGGGACTTCAAACCACTGCTCTAGAAAGACTGTTTCCCCACGCAAACCTCAAGTCACACGAAGGAAATGAAGTCTGGATGTAAGGGAAGAGAAGCATTTTTCAATTCCCATATATTTACTGAGTCTGTGCAGTGCGTTAGGCTAGTTACTATGAAGATTAAAAATAACTGCAAGGCATAGTTCCTGCCCATAAGAGAATATATAACTTGTATCGGCAGAAAAGACCACACATTTCACATATAAATAATTATTTAAAAGTAATATATTCCATGCTACTGACTATAACATAATTTTAAAAGTTACATATATCATTATATCACTGTTAGGTCAAACTAATTTTTATTGTTTTTAAAAGAATGGGAGTAAAGATGAAAGGAATATATGTTAGAAATGATTATGAAACAATTTTGAATACAATTAGCAATCAGCCCTTAGATATTTGAACCTGGAAAAAGCAACGGACAAGGTCAATGGCCAAAGAATAATTCATGAGCTCAAAGACGGAGCAAGCCTACGATGCTTAGAGTCTCCTCCTTGGCATAATGAAAACTGTGCTATGGAATCACTCACAATCAACTCAACCCAACAGTGTTTAGTAAATTAAATGGTTTGCAAAGAACTCATATGCGTACATGCATAACCCTTGGACACAGACAATAACCACTGAAATAATTAGCAATTAAGATATCAGCAATTCAAGAGCTTATAATAAACATTTTCTCTTTTATCATTAGAAATATGACTATTAATTTTGGCCTGACTATTGGCCTCCCCTTCTATACTGGCTTCTTTTGAGAACACATTCAAAAACAATGAAACGTATCCTAGTCTGGGAGAAATAACTAGCTTTAAACATTTTTCACATATATTGGACTATAAAATGTATTTCTAAGTTTAAATGAGCAGTCAAAATTCAAACTTTCATGTATGTTTTATGAAACAAAAAAGTACATTAAACATCTAAAACTGGCTCAAAACGTTGAAAACTCTATTTGAATTCAGCTACTTGTTTTGATAATTCAGCTAAATATACCACACCCACTCCTTTAGTTTATTATTAGGTACCAAGGCAAGGATGTGGCATATGCTTTAAGACTATAAAAGGAGTTTTTTTTTCTTTCTTTAAATGTGAGGATCTAATTGGCTGTATTCAGTGATTCATGAGTTGGGCAGATCCATCTAGCAACTGAAAGGTGCTCCCTTAAAAGGAATTTCTGAATCAAGAAAATAATCACAAACGTTCATCCCATCTCTCTTGTTCCATCAAGAAGTACAGGTTACAGCACCTTCAATGATACCAACTTCGATCTGGAGGCCTAAGGGAACCCCCATTTAATGTAATAACTTCTCCTTCATATTTGAAAATGACCCTCAATAGAAGATGATGAATTTCAAGCTGTTCCCCCAATAAGGGTGGTGGATACACCAATCCAGCCATACTCTTTTCTTACATCCACAGACATATTCAATAGGAGGTGGGCTGATATGATCTATCTGTGTGCCCATCAGATAAAATTAAGTTTACTGGCTTCAGCCTGAGAAAGACAAGTATCACATG